ACGTGTAATCGACCTGAGGATTGTGTGAGCATATGCGGGAAATACCCGCCTTAAATAGGGGTAAATATTTTTAAACCTTGTACATTTTATCAACATCCTTAAAGAGGCTGTACATAATGTTGATATCTCATATAATCATTAAACGACTCGTGGTTGTTGTTTATTGTACAATAAAACACTAGCCCCTCATGGTTTATTCTCCCTGCAGTGTTTTATTGTACTCCCACTCGTCGTTTATTTCTTTAACAGTGGCCCGCTCATTTATGATAACATGCGGGCGGTTTAATGATAATTTTATCCATTTTAACTATAAAATAATGTAAAGCGGGATGTTTTGTAGTCAGGTTGGAGCGGATGAAAATATGATAATTAATTTTGTATTTCAAATTGGTCTATGAGAATTTTGCCTTTCATGAATATGCTAGCCGTGTATAACATTGCCTCATGGAGAAACTCACTGGCCTGTGATTATTTCTGTAACTGTAGTACTGCTGGTGCGGCTTTAAGCAATATTACTCACTCACTGACGGTAATAGTTTTGTTTCCAGCTTTCGGACACATTAATGTTTTCACTATCATTGGACATTCATGTACACAATTTCTTTTGTTAAATTATATTGAGCTTGTTGAGGGTTTTATCATAAAGAACCTAGGAAACTGTAACAACGGGAGATGACTCAGACTTTGTGTTTGTAAATTACATAGCATTTTCAAGCTCAAGTCATAAGTTTGCTAAATGCTACTTGGAGAATGAAGAGCACGAAAGAAGCATGACCAAAGGACTTCTAACGTGCGCATGGGCCTTGACCTTGTGATATTACGCATGCGCACGGACAGCGTCTAAAACGCGAGAACACGAGAACGCGAGATCGCGAGAAAATGAAATGTCGCATTCTCGCGTTCTCGCGATTTCATGTTTTTGTGGCCTAATTTGACAAGTCGAGATTGCGAGATAACGAGATTTTGCATCATGTCCAAATGTCGCATTCTCGCGTTGTCGACTTTTGACAAAAAGTGCTATGTACCAAAAACACGAGAATGCGAGATCGCGAGAACGCGAGATTTTGGCCAAATCTCGCGTTCTCGCGATCTCGCATTCTCGTGTTTTGGGCATATTTACTTCGTTTCCAAAGGTCGAGATCGCGAGAATGCGAGATCGCGAGAATGTCCCTTACAGTATTCCATACTTGGATGTGCCAGAAACCTACAATGGAAGGTTTCCTCTCATTTTAAAGGGACACTGATCTACAGAAATGCCCCGAGACTGGTTGTTGCCTTAGTTATTGTCCCCCCTTCCCCACCCCCACCCACCCTCCCCCGTGAGTATCCGGATGATATAGCAGATATCAAGACTAGTTCGCGACCTGTGCTGCGCCATTCGTAAGCGCATGTATCGCTTTTATTGATAGTATTTCATTGTGGGTATATTGTTTAGCCAAAATGTATAAAGTTTCACGAAGGCAATTTTTGCAACGCCTAAATATTCAGTTATTTTACAAATTGACTGAAAATCGGTCAATTTCATCACCCAGTGACTTAAAATGATAGGATTAAAAGAAAACAAAATTCAAAGTACGTTTCTATAGTTTGGGCTTCTAATACTAGCGGGACGGTCGGGTAGCCTAGTGGTTATTGCTGAAATAGTGCTAAAAGGGGGGTAAAAACAAACACACTCACTCACTCAAATACTAGGATAAATAGTCTATTTTTAAGCCCTTTTGAACCTCTTAAAAATTGTTAGTCAATCTGGACTTGGATTCAGTCAATTTCTATATTACTGAAATATTTAGACATTTTATAAATTGCCTGAGTGAATCACTTTTTACACATTGAGTGTAATATACATGTATACACGCCTACAGGTACAAGAGGAACAAAACTGATTCTATCCAGTGCAACAGCAAATGAATGAAAACAAAATGCAAATATCATAATGACGCAAATGTCGCCCCAGACCATCACACTTCCGCCCCCGAAAGGTTCCACCTCCTGGACACAACAAGGAGCCGTACGTTCACCACGTCGTCGATACACTCGCGTCCGCCCATCAGGTTTGAAGAGTTGGAACCTGCTCTCGTCACTAAACAGCACTCGCCGCCATTCCCTTTGTTGCCATCGCTGAGTTGTCTGCACCACGTCAATCTGGCACGTCGATGTTGACGGGTCAAGGTCATGCCCTTGAAAGGGCTATAAGCCCGGAGACCATAATGTCGTAGTCGTCTGGTCACTGTTTGTCTGCTGACCGGATGACTTAAGCTGTTGGCATCTGATGACGTCACAGTAAGAAATCTGTTCCTCAGATGACGTACCCGTAAAAAGCGGTCATCCTGCGTGGTCGTGACCTATGGTCTGCCACTCCGTGGTCTGTCTGCGGTTCTGCCAGTCTGTCGGAGACGTGAGACCAGTCTGGTAATGGTCATCTTGGAGCAGTTCATGTTAATGGCAACCGCTCTCTGTGTCGCTCCCATCTGCAGCATACCTATGGCTCTCTCCTTCTGGACAGCGGTCAGCCTTGGCATGTTCGTTGGTGTTAATCATCGCAAACATTGATAGGGAACAGATCCCTACGTAATTTATACCCGGAAATTGCACGATAATTTGGGGAAGATTGTTTTAAAAAATTGCTGAAAAACACCAATATTTCCCAAAATCCGCAAAGCACGTGCAAAGAACGACAGAGAACATGAAGGCTGTATTCGTGAAATGTGTTCTTTACTGTTTTTGAACAGGTTGGCATCTTTGTTTCAAAGTGGCAAATCAGTTAATGTTGGTAACGTTTCTTTTGGCCCTCAGTTTATAACCATCTGGGGTATTTCCAAATAACGACATCCGATGAGCTTCCATCGTTCTTTTTGTCCGTTTGTTTAGGCTAAAGAAATTAATTAACATGCGCCCTTTGTCTGAGATTCAGAGATTACAGGTAACCAATCAGTGTTCTTGAACACGGTAGTCCAGTCTCTTGTCACGCTCAGTTGCGTCAGTGAGCAAATCGGCAGATGGTGAGCCCCAGCTGGCAGTGTTAGACAGCCGAGAAGAAGATTAGTGCCCCTTTAAACCGACAAGCCGGGATATAACTAAAATATACACACTGTTCAAAGCAGTGTTGAGCCAAACTCACTCACTTATTCAGAGTCATGCTGGTCCCCCAGGCTGGATATTGGGGGTACTTTTCCAGTATAAGCATGCCTGTCATTTGAATGTTAAGGCCGCAATAGTGAGTGAGTATGGTTTTACGCCGCTCTTAGCAATATTCCAGCAATATCACGGCGGGGGACACCAGAAATGGGCTTCACACATTGTACCCATGTCGGGAATCGAACCCGGGTCTTTGGCGTGACGAGCGAACGCTTTAACCACTAGGCTACCCGACCGCCCCTAAGGCCGCAATAAAATTAATAGTTACAGTTTGATTGATTTTTTAAAAACATGGGAGACAGGAGGCATTTTATTTTTAACGTTTTTATTTTGTTCTTATCGACCTACTTTAGGCATATGTGTACAATTGCTGTCGGCGGATGCGATTCGCATGCATCATGTGTGCTCAGTAGGGCTACGTGTATGGAGTATTTTATCAGGTAAAGAAAGTAGGAACACTCATATTAACGATACTTCTATTTCTAGGAATTTATGGGCATTAGAATAATGTAAGGCAGGATGTTTTGTTGTCAGGCGGGAGCGGATGAAAATCTATTAATTAAAGTAGCGAATATGGTATCGTATAAAAAAACAAAAAAACAACATCGGACAATATCATTTTATCCGAATGCTACAAATATGGTCTGTGAGAATTTTATTTTAATGAATATTCTAGCCGTGTATAAAATTGCCTCATTGAGAAACTCACTGGCTTGTGATTATTTCTGTAACTGACAGTGTAGCCGCGAATAACTGCAATACTGCTGATGCGGCTTTAAGCAATATTACTCACTCACTCACTGACGGTAATAGTTTTGTTTCCAGCTTTCGGACACATTTATGTTTTCACCATCATTGGACATTCATAGACACAATTTCTTTTGTTAAATTATATTGAGCATGTTTAGGGTTTTATTATAAAGTACATAGGAAACTGTAACAACGGGAGATGACTCAGACTTTGTGTTTGTAAATTACATAGCATTTTCAAGCTCATGTCATAAGTTTGCTAAATGCTACTTGGAGAATGAAGAGCATGAAAGAAGCATGACCAAAGGACTACTAACGTGCGCATGCGCTTGACCTTGTGATATTACGCATGCGCACGGACAGCGTCTAAAACGCGAGAACACGAGAACGCGAGATCGCGAGAAAATGAAATGTCGCATTCTCGCGTTTTCGCGATTTCGTTATTTTGTGGACTAATTTGACAAGTCGAGATTGCGAGATTGCGAGATTTTGCATCATGTCCAAATGTCGCATTCTCGCGTTGTCGACTTTTGACAAAAAGTGCTATGTACCAAAAACACGAGAATGCGAGATCGCGAGAACGCGAGATTTTGGCCAAATCTCGCGTTCTCGCGATCTCGCATTCTCGTGTTTTTGGCATATTTACCTCGTTTCCAAAGGTCGAAATCGCGAGAATGCGAGATCGCGAGAATGTCCCTTACAGTATTCCATACCCCTGGCACCTGGACTATTAGTTTTGCATATTTCCAGGATGGTGTGTTTTTACTGAAGTTAAACAGTTTACACGCTTTCATTATCACTGATTGGTCGGTTGATATACACGTGACCATGATGTATGAATGTTCAAATTGAATACAGAAGAATCTATTTCAGACTACCATCTATTTCAACACAGTTTGTGTAATGTTATTAACATTGAAACAATGTCACCAGGTAACGGTCAAAATATCGACCATTCTGGATTTCGGAAAATGAGTCGGTCCTATCTACCCATTCGCTCAACTGAATATACAAAACTGATTTTTTTTAAATAACACATGCCGCTTCTCATTCATAGCTCGAAGAAACAGAAATTACAATTTAATATTTTTCCCCATTGGTGCATTTCTTCCCAGCAGGATGAAGAGGAGGCAGTGACATTATCTGAGAACGACGCAAAGGAATATGACTTCCTTCTTGATGAAGAGGAATTTACATACGTGACAAAGATGCTAAAAAAAATAGCAGAAGAAAGGATATCTGAACCCAAATTTATTTGGGATGACTTGGATACATTCTAAGATGAACAAATCCGATGAAAAGTGGATGCAAAATATGTACAGTAAACTACGGTTATAACAAACTCAAAGGGATTACCAATTTTAGTTCGTTATAACCGTCAGTCCGTTATAAGCGTGTTCGTTATAACCGTAGTTTACTGTAATGTTGCAAACAACGCCGCCATGTACTGCTTGCTTTAGAAACTGCGTAAACTCCATTTGCTAAATGTATAGTATAGAGTATACCATTTTGTGTATAAACAAAAATGTAAATACATGTATGGGCATTGTACTTAGGTGAGGTGAGGTGAAATTGGGTTTAACGTCGCGTCCAAGATTATTGCACTTATATAGCGACGTGCATGCACGTGTATGTGTGTGTGTGGCTGCTTGTACTAGTCCGGACTGATGCCGATTTATAGTGCTAGCTCACTGAGATACCATGCCGCAGTTTAACATGAATACCCCACTCAGACACAGTATGCTGACTCCGAGCCGACCAGTCCTTGTTTTGGCCCCTTAATGCCGAGCGCCAGACAGGGTAACAACAAGTACAATCTTTTAACGTCTTTTTGTATGACGCGGCCCAGGATCGAACCCTGGACCTTCCGCTCTCCGGGCGGACGCTCTACCAGAAGACCACGGAGGCGGTCGCATTGTACTTAGAAATATCTAAATCTGTGTACAGACAACGTCTTTGAAACACCTTTTTTCTAGACATGTATAAGTTGTACTTTTATCTGGTTTACCCTACAATGATGAATTTGGTGTCTTGAAACAATATCTTGTTAATATGGGGGCGATTCGTTGTGCAGAGTTGAGTCCCTTGGGCAGGCCAGGAACCTATGATTGTGGGTTCGAATCCCGGTTCGCCCCAATTATGTTTCTAGGTTTGTCAGCACCATACCGTTGCGCGTGGGTTTCACCGAAGTGGTAAACGTCTGAGACCTGCATCACTTCGGGCTTTCCTCCCACATTAGCTGACACACCGTGATATAACTGGAATACTGTTAAAAGCGGCGTTAAACCCAACTCGCTCACTCACTCAAGAGGTATTCCCAAGAGATGAATACATATGCGTTCGGCGTGCATGAACACAAAGAACCTAAACCGTTTACTAGTTGTATATTATGCCTTATGTTTGTTTTATAACGCAGTGGACATGTACAAAGTTTTGTAGTCCAAGTTGTGTCACAATCTGTCTTCAACATTATACATTGTAGCTTCTGAAAAAAGATTGATGGATTGCTGCCGAAATGCGGCCACATATGTGTTATTCATTGTTAATAAGCATGTAGACCTTATAGACGGGTTGATCTGATAAATGTTACAGTTAATGTGTAAAATTAGTCAATTTTTAAAATGACTGACATTTTTACTTAGGCAACTTTACAAAACTCACTCGTCCTACAATTATTTTTCCGTCAGATTGATTTAAAGTAATCCAGAAGTTCGAAAGATCTTAAAACATTTCAATATACTCATTATGTTAGGATGAGAATGTAAAAAATATAATTTGAAAATATACACTGACGATCGATTTCTTTTAATCCTAGTATTTTTAGTCATTGGGTGATGAAATTAAGTATTAAATTGAAATTCGTTATCATGATATAATAAATGGAAAACTAATTGTGAAATGACAATATTTTGGTGTACATATATATCATATATAACATATAGAAACAAATACATGCCCTTAAATTCTCAAAAATTGAATTTTGCATTGCACGGAGAAGGACAGAAGAAGGAATTGTAATGAAATTAGTTTACAGTAAATGACTTTAGAAACTATGAAAACACCATTTGTTCAATATATTTTCCAAGTTGTAGATTCAAATTATGTTGTACAAAATCCTAGTAATTTTCATCCAATACGATCGTGGGAACATTAAATGTGAAGATTGTTTCATGTTGCATGGCATGACAAGTTAGAAGGGCAAGTTCACCAGTTTTACTAAGTTGCCAAACGCGGATGTTACATTTGCCCCGAGGTAAAAATGCATTGTTCACCGAATATTGCACAACACGTCTCTAGAATGGTTCCTGCAAGTACAAAGTATGGTCATTAGTGGTTATTATTGAGGTTATTAAGCATAGGTGTACGTCATTATTAGTTTCTAATGCACTGCTACTTCCACAGTCATGAAAATCAATGCTGACATTCGTTGACCATTCAGTAGCAGAGCTACAGTGTTTTTTACGCTATTTCTTACGGAATTGCACTTTGGTACATGATATAACAACATGACGTGACATGGACATATTTAATATATATTGTTATACACTGTTACATGTTCAAGGATGGTAAATTTAAACATGTTTTGTTCAGATCATCTGGTGAATTGAGGTGTTATTGATATGTATCACGTTTACGATTATTGATCGACGTGCATGCACGTGTGTGTGTACGTATGTGTGGCTGCTTGTACTAGTCCGGAATAATGCCTATTTTATAGTATAAGTCCACTGAGATACAGTGCCGCAGTTTTAACATGAATACCCCACGCAGACACAGTATACTGACTCCGATCCGACCAGTCATTGTTTTAGCCCCTTAATGCCGAACGCCAGACAGGGTAACAACAAGTACCATCTTTTAACGTCTATTGGTGTGACGCGGCCGGGGATCCAACCCCCGACCTTACGCTGTCTAGGCAGATGCTCAACCACTAGACCACGGAGGCGGTCTCAGATCATCTGATTTGCATTTGCCAAAATTATCTTTTAAGCACATTTATGCATGATGGTAATATTTGTTTTATCAGTCGCTTTCGTGTTCTTTGTATCATACATTTTTGAGAAAATAGCAAATATATATATATATATATATATATATATATATATATATATAATGTGCAATGTTCAAACAAGGAAACATTGCGTATAGCCTACAAAGTACAGGAGAAGAATGAAAAAAAATAACAACACTGTCATTGCAATTTAATATTGTTATTTGTAAGTGTCTCCATAATCTGAACACAGAGACATTGGTCGATCACTTCTTAAAATGCTGTCACAAGCAGAATTATTAAATCTTTGTGTTACATAGGTCCTCTGAATACTAAAGCTAGTTAATATAATGTATATAATTTCTGTATATAAAATTTCTTTCCTGCTACGTGGCGCGTATGGTGTAATAGATCCAATACATTAATACATATACGTTGCATACGATGTTTATGGAATCAAGGTATAGTTACACCATATGTGACATCCATTGTGAATAGTGTCAACGTGACTGTAAGATAAGCACTGATTAACTAAAATCAAACAGAAATATATTATAAAACTCATTGTTTCCTTTTTAGAAAATAATACTTATTTACAAAACCAATACAAAGCTTTGTTTCACAGTTAAATGTATGATACAACACAACATTGATTACTAGCATTAGACCTTGAATGTTCGTTGTTAGAAATGGTTGGCCAGACTTTCTTGTTGGAGATGACAGTGTAGTGAGAAAGCATGTGAGGTGAGGTGAGGTGAAATAGGGTTTAACGTCGCGTCCAAGATTATTGCACTTATAAAGCGACGTGCATGTACGTGTGTGTTTGTGT